GTTTTCGAGTATGTTTAGGGCCTCAAAAACGCGTGTCTTTGGCACGAATAATAATAATAATCCGAGCAGTTCCAATAGGGTCTTCGCACCCTTTTGGGTGCTCGGACCCTAATAATAATAATAATAATCCGAGCAGTTCCAATAGGGTCTTCGCACCCTTTTGGGTGCTCGGACCCTAATTACATGCAAATAACAATTATGCAAATTAGTGATAACATCATTTAGCTACTTCTAGTGACTTTTAGGACAGCCAATAGCTGCTTTCCTTACTGAGGAGTTGACAGTACTATGAACAAAGCTGCATTTTAAGATGGCCTTTTATAGTCCCTGGTCAAAGGAGTGTCTGTACAAGTCCCACTATCTGATCGTTGTCCTTTAACGCCTGACTCGGCTGTGGGTTTAGTCAGTGGTGGAGAATTTGTCACCAGTTCAAAACTTTTTGTGCACAGTTCAATCGTTTACCAACAGAAATTATATTTTTAGGTCTTTCTCAAAGTCAGACAATAATTTGCAGACTGTGATTATAATAGGTGAAGCTAATAATGTTATGGTGTCCTAACTAGCTGAAGCTGTAGCTAATTGCTGTCTTTATGTTAAGCTAATAATGTTATGCTATATTAGCTTGCTGTAGCTTAAAATAACTCGCTGACTTTAGGTTAATCTAATAATGTTCTGCTATATATTGTTTGCAGCTCATGCTGCTGTATCTCCTCCCTGATGGCAAAAGGGACAAGAGGTGGTGGGAGGGCTGGAGGGGGTCCATGATGATGGAGGTGGCTCTACTGATGCAGCACTGCTGGTTTAGCTCCATCAGGCAGGGGAATGGGGCACCAGTGGTTTTGCTGGCTGTCTTAACCAGTCTGTTTAGCCGCTTTCTGTCCTTGGTGCTGCAGCACCTGAACCAGGTGGTGAAGCTATTGGTCAGGATGCTTTAAACGGTGCCCCTGTAGAAGGTGGGTGGTGTGTGGTGGGAAGGCCTGTTTTCCTGAGTCTGTGAAGGGAGTGAAGCTGCTGCTGAGCTTTTTTGAGGGCTGCCAAGGTGTTAGTGGTTGGAGTGAGGTCATCATCAATGTGAACCCCCAAGTACTTCACACTGCTGATCTTCTTCACAGCAATCCCGTCGCTGATGAGTGGTGCATGATCCTGTTTGCCAGCCCTCCTGAAATCGATAACAACCGCACTGGTCTTGTCTACATTGAGGAAGAGGTTATGGGAACTGCACCATGAGCTCAGCTGTTTCACTTCTTCCCTGTATGCAGACTCACTGCTGTCCTTAATAAGGCCCACCACTGTCGTGTCATCTGCAAACTTCAGGATGTCGTTGCTGCAGAATCTGGCAGTGCAGTCAAAGGTGAGCAGGCTGAAGAGCAGAGGGCTCAGGACACAGCCCTGTGGAGAGCCTGTGATCACTCTGATGGTCTTTGATGTGCGGATGCCCACCCTGACTGCCTGCTGTTGCTGAGTCAAAAAGTGTAGACCCAGTTACAGATGCTGTCCACCTTTAGCTGCTGAAGCTTTTCCACTAGCTGCTGTGGGATGATGGTGTTGAAGGCACTGCCGAAGTCTATGAACAGAAGCCTGGCGTAGGTGTTCTTCTGCTCAGGATGAGACAGTGTGAGGTGGAGCATGGTGGAAATTGCATCTTCTGTGGATCTGTTTCTTCTGTAAGTGAATTGTAGTGGGTGCAGGTCAGCAGGGGGGCAGTTTTTAATGTGCTGCATGACCGAGCGTTCAAAACATTTCATCACTATAGACATGAGGGCTACAGGGCGGAAATCAGAGAGAGAGGCCGGTGAGATTTGTTTTTTTTCGGGACAGGGATGATGGTGGCACTTTTGAGGCAGGTGGGCACCACAACCTGTCGAAGCAAGATGTTGAAGATATCTGTGAAAACATCCTTCAGCTGCTCAGAGCAGTTTTTCAGAAGGCATCCAAGGATGTTGTCTGGCCCAGCAGCCTTGCGAAGGTTGATGCTAGCCAGGGCCTTCTGTACTCCAGCTGTAGTGTCTGGTCGTACAGTGCTGACAGCAGTGTCTGTGTCTGAGTGGTGTTTTTGGCCTCAAAACGTGCCTAGAAGGTGTTCAGCTCATCTGGAAACAAGGGGTCAGGGTGACACATCTGCAGGAGGCAAGGTTTATAGTCAGTGATGGAACGAAATCCCTGCCACAAGCAACGTGAATCTTTAGCTTCAGTGAAATGGCTGCTCAGTGCTTGTGCATGCTGCTTGTTTGCCCCTTTACTTCCCCCGGACCAGATTACTTCTTGCGAGTTCATAGGCTGCAAATCTCCATGCCCTGTCCCGTCCCGTGCTCTGAGCAATGAGCGCAACCCCCCTGTCAGCCATGGCTTCTGATTAGCACGCCTCCTGATGGTTCTGACCTCTGTTACATCTTCAGTACACTTGTTGATGTAGCTGATGACAGAATCTGTGTAATAAGTTAATAATGTAATGCTGTATTAGCTTGTTGTAGCTTAAAATAACTAGCTAACTTTAGGTTAAACTAATAATGTAATGCTATATTAGCTTGCTGCAGCACTACCTAGCTAGCTTGAATTCTTTGCCACTGTCTGTTAAACAATTTGACTGAATTGACGTCATTTTTAGCCCATGAATTTAAATACCAATGATAATAAAGTTATGACTTTAATCCTACAGGCCCTTTAATTGTACATTTATTGGCAATAATCAAACTTCAAAAAACAATAATATTTTCTATTTGTGTATGTAACATTCATGTTGCAGTTAAAGTTAGAGCAACACCAAAATTTGAGAACATGGTTAATCTTATGTATAAATAACAAGTTTCTCAAGCTCAAAGTGCCCCAAGATTACTTGTTTAGTTTTATAATAATGGCACTGTCGTCTATTATAATTTATTTTGTCAAAATTTGTTTACGCAAGCATACCTCTTGTGCACACATTACATTGCACAAGAAGCTCTGCTCAGACGTTCTTAATTATTCCGACAGCACCTGAAGGCAACTTAAAAGCCCTGAAAACCAGAATCAACTTTTCTTCTTAAAGAGCTCACTTCGTGCGTTTACCGCAGCAGACTGCATCTCATTCCAGCAGACATGTGTGGCCTGAGCAGACTGTCACGAGAACCGCATGTTTGGCACCAGTTCCCATTAAGTCTAAAAATACAAGCGGGCTAATTGATTAGAAATGACTCGGGCCAGGCGGCCTCCCGAAACGGTGACGCGACCAACTGGTCTAGCCACGCATGCGCAGAGGCCCGGCGTCACGGAGCAGCACCAGCAGCAGCAGCAGAAGCAGCCATCGCCGCCGGGGAGACTTTGGAGCTGTTCGGTGTGTTTATTTCACCCAAGAAACACTTTTCTCCACCATGTCGGGATTTGACACCAACCCCTTCGCCGACCCGGTGGACGTGAACCCCTTCCAGGTGAGAAAGCTGCTCGGTTTTCTGTCCGCGAGTCGAGTTTTGAAGGCTTGTTTGGTGTAAGGTGAACACTGAAAGAGATATGCTGCAACAAAAACCTGTTTGGTTGGTTGCTGGGTTTGGCCTCGGCGTTTCCTGGCTAAGAATCGTCTCTAATATGAAGTAGGACACGTTGCAGGCTAATTATAGTCTCCTTTTCTTTCTTATTGCTAGTAAAACGGCGTATTTGGGCTGTAGGTGGGCTGTGAACTCACCTGCGCAGGTGAACAGACTCACCAACAGGTGCCTGCTGCTGTTTGGCCACCAGCCGTGGCTGCTCTCTAACCCGCCATTGATCAAACAGAAAAATACATTTTAAAAAAACTACAACCTCATCTGGCAAAGTAGGATTTCCCAACTTGATTATACGTTTTATTTCACAGTGTATTTATCACACCGCAGTGTTTTCACGCCTTCCAGCCTTTAAAACTAATGGTTACGGATGAACATATGTCTCTGTGCTGTGTTTACTTAAAGATAAATTTGTTTGTTCACACCGAAGAATTTTTGTTTTAACTGAAGAAAATGTGGTCCAGGGCCAAGAGTCTATAAATAGTTAATGTGGTGTGAGACAATTCACATTGTAGAGCTCTTCCTGGACTGTTTGCTTTCTCCACCAGCAGCAAACTGGGCTTTCATTGCACACACAAGTTCTGTTGGGTTTTATCTGAGTAATGATGGGGATGTGTTCAGCAAGGAGGTCTGATGATCCTTCTCCATAAAACTAGAAGCATAACACACTTAATTTTTGCATTCGGGTACATTTTTATGCCCTAATTGTGCCTTTGTCTGCACCAATGTATGGTGGGAATGTTTCAGAAATGCACAAAAATTAGGCACCATTGTGAGAAATCAAAATCTAGTGGAAATATATTATTATTAATAGATTCATCGGTTATATTGGCGGCATTGTTGTTACTGTTTGTGATGTTGTCTGCTATTGTCATATTTTACTGAGGGCAAAGATACATGTTTTAAATAATAAGAGTACATCAATGAATCAATTAGTTGTCTGCTTTTAAAATCATCTTTAGCTATTTTGACAATTGTTTTAAAGTCAAACTTTTCTGATTCCAGCTTCTTAAATTCAAACATTCATGTTTTTTATGCTAAACCAAAGTATCATAGAATATCATACATTTGAGGACGTCATCTTTGATATTCTGAAATGCTTATTGACAATTTTTTAAATCATTTTTGCTGACATTTTGTAGACCAAACAATAGATCAACTGTTTGGGAAACTAACTGACAGATTAATCAATAATGGAAAAAAATCATCTCTTACATCCTGTTCAAGGTTTAAGAGTATTGATTTGTCACATGGTCAAACAGAGTGGTGGTAAAATGCAAAGTGAAGAGGTTGTGCAATAACAAGACATGATGGAAAACATTCCTTTACAAATATAAGAACAAAAAAATATATAAATAATGAGGTAAAGAGATTGTGACAATCAAGTGTAGTGTATGTTGTGGAAGAGTTGCAGTCGTGTGTGTGAGGATGTTATGTTTAATGCAGAATAGCATGTGTGTATGCATCTATATGTAACCTACATATTTACATTGTGCCAGTGTGCTGCTACTGTTTGAGATGAAGTGCTGTGATTTGGATTCAGGCCTGAGGTCAGTGTCAAATCTCCTCCTGTGTAAATTACAAATATGTCTGATCTCTTTTCAGGATGCGTCAGTCAAACAAGCCACCAGCAGAGCCACTGAAAACGTCGGGGAGTTCAACCCATTCTCTGCTCCTGATATGGTCCGTTTGTGTTCTTTCATCTAACTACTGATGTGATGTACAGATGTTCCACCACTGAGAGGTCATTTAATTATTGATAAAAATGTCTTACTGCAGAACAACTCTGCCACGACCATCCCCATCTCTGCTGCCTCCTCTCAACCCGCCGTGCTGCAGACGTCTGTGGAGCAGAGCGCACAAGTGAGTGATGCAGTGATTGACCGAAAAAAAAAAAAAAGGAAATTTAATAAGTTGTTATGAAATCACATTTCTGCTGCTGTTTTATACAGTGCATGAGTTGAGATTAATCAACCAAAGTGTATCAGTCTTTAAGTCTTTCAGTAATTTGCAGTCGTAGAAGGTAGAGCTGAACTAACAATTCATTTTTTAAGCTAATATTGATGTTTTGTTTTGTTTTTTTTAACAAGAATTATTACCAAACGTTAATGTATGCGTCAATACATTATATCTGTAATTAGTCTGACTCACCAGATGTAGGATTCAGGTATCAGTCTGCTACCGGCTGCTCATGTCAGCTGGATTTTTCTTTTCTCTCTGCTATCTGCGTGTTACCTTTTATCAAAATCCACTTCACAACGGGAAATGACAACAACCTTGAGGCTAGAAACCTACCACACTGAAAATTAGACATTTTACTGAGGATTTGGATTTTGCAGTAAGGCAGCCCTTCTAGTTTTTTTTTGGTCATTTTAATGACAGTTCTGCCTCCCTGCTTGCAAATCTTCCACCACCACAACATCCATCACTGTTTAAAAGGAAACCTCAATGACGAATCGGTTGCTTAGTTCTGCCAAGATGACTGTGACTGGTTTAAAGAAATTCAAAGAAGCCAGAGAGTTTTCCCCTACAGCAGAGTGATAGTGAGATCCATTGAGACTTTATGTACTAAAGAATGGGCTGGCTAAGAGAGTGACTAATCTGCAATGAGCTACAAATGTGTAATAGTATTGTCTGATTTCAGTATCAGTATATCAGCCAGTCTTCAGTAGTGAGTCAGTAGTTAAACTCTAAAAACACCTGGACATGATTTGGTGGAGCTAATGTCATAAACAGGTCAATTAGGAGGGGTGGAGGTACTCTGGTATGTAGTCTAGTTTGTGACTTCCTCACTGGGAGGAAAGATGTAGTAGGAAGTTGTAGTGATGCAGCGACGATCATAAACACACAAGGGATGTTTCATTTTATGAAATGCCCTTTGCCTCGACTCCTACATTCATACCTCTAGTGGGAGAGGCTAAGATGTGAGGAAAGGAGAAGGTGGGAAGGTTCAGTGTTAAGAGTGCAGCTGTTTCATCACACACCAGGCGACTGCAGCTGCTGGCCAGGCGAACCTGATCAAACAGCAGGAGGAGCTGGAGAGGAAAGCAGCTGAGCTGGAGAGGAAGGAGCAGGAGCTGCAGAACAGGGCCGCAAGCGGAGGACGCAACTCTGGGAGTGAGTGTCTGCAGTCGTTATAAGAAGGACTTGATCTTCTTAATCTGTAACAAACACACGTCCACATATCTTTTTTGCTGGAGTTTAGTTTATTCTACATTTTTATTGCGCATGTATATCAGTTCCAACTATGAGTTATTGGTCTCCTTGATTACTAATAATCAGTACTGACCCTAAAAAAAGAAAGACGTTTTGGTTGACCCCTAGTTTTAAGTTGTTGCGTGTGTAATATGTTTTGTTCATATTTGTATACATATATGAACAATAAGCTTTAACACAACACTCAAAATGACGGTCGTGAAATGTTTGTGTTTCAGCGAAAGAGAACAACTGGCCACCTCTTCCAAGTTTCTTCCCCGTGAAGCCGTGCTTCTATCAGGACTTTGAGGAGGACATTCCAGAGGACTACCGCAGAATCTGCAAGAGAATGTACTACCTCTGGATGTGTACGTAACCGGCACGCTCTATTCCTCAACACTTCCTCATACGAAAACCTGTTTGTAAAAAAATGCATTAATGAATTTATTTTTTAACCCTCTAAACTCCAAGAAGTTTCTGAGGACTTTAATTGCTTATATCACATTTTTACTCACTGTTCGCTCATTTTTAACTGCAATATAAAGTTCTACACCTCAATTCAGGAATATCTTTTGTGCAGCATGACAAAGTTAAAATGCCATAAATCAGAGAAAAGGAAAGTTGAATTTGCTTGATTATTTATTTTACAAAAACCGACAAAACCTGTAAAAAACATGTACAACATTTTTCCAAGTGCTCACAAGTGTAACCAATACTACAAAAAAAGACAGTAACTCTGTCAGATCGAATTATTTTAATACTTGGATTTTAAATGTAATTTTTACATTTAATTTAGTTTAAACACAGCTTCTAGTTCAGCCAGAAAGTCACGGAATTGACTCTGATAGTTTCATAGCTGCACCAAGGTATGCAATTTGTTTTGTTTTTTACAGGATCTGGTCGGGACAAACCTTTTATTTTTGAACACATTTTTAAATAGGACATGTGGAATAAAGGGATTTTGATGAAATATCAGGACTTAGGCTTCAGTTTAGTGAAGTCTTTCAACTGAAAGGCAAGTCACAGAGAGTCTGTTCAATAGTATGGTGACATTTGATTATTTCACATATAAACATTTTATATTGTCTATCTCGGCTTAATACAGGAGCAATGTGTCAGATTTCCAGGAAGAAATGGAATATAGTATTGATAGTTATGTTTTCACATTGTTACTGTACTTTTGTTTGCTGAGAATGAGCTTTTATGTCTTCAGAAGGAGTGTGTTCTTCCACAGAGTGTTTTATTACAGGAGCCCAGAACAGACAAATTCAAAACCCTGACACTTGCTTACAAAACCACAACGAGAACAGCTCCCTCCTACCTGAACTCTCTCAATCAGATCTACACTCCCTCTTGCTCACTACGCTCGACCAACAAAAACCGCCTGATACAACCACCGTCACAGGGCCCGACATCGATAGCTAGACTCTTCTCTTCTGTGGTTCCGCGGTAGTGGAACGAGTTACTAAACTCTGTTCAATCTGCTGATTCCCTCTCAGTCTTTAAGAAAAGACTAAAGACCAGCTCTTCACTGAACACCTTTGCACTTGACTGCCCAAAAACAAACAAACAAAAAAATATCCTATTACCTCCCACACAGCCTGCTGTTGGCATCAACACCGTATGACACTTGAATTTGTTCTATGGCATTTATCTTGATGGACTAGATCCTTGCATGTGTTGTATCTGCTCTCAGATGTACGTCACTTTGGATAAAAGCGTCTACTCAATGAAATTGTAGAATTGCAAATTGTACAAATCAAACACTGATTCTTAAGCAGCTCATTTTTAGTAGCCACTGTAAGTTCTACAGTTTTATTTGGCAGATGCTTTTATCCAAAGTGAGGCACGTCTGGGAGTAGATACAACACAAGCAAGGATCTAGTCAGGAGAAAACAATCACGATAAGTGCCATAAAACAAGCGTGATAGGACCTTTGTGCCTACAGGCAGTGCAGGAGGTAATAGGAATTTTTGTTTTATTGTTTTGTTCCACTACATGCTTAGAGGAGACAGGTGAGGTGAGGGGTATCCAACTGATCTGCAAACTTCCTGCTAGATGCTCATAATTCTGTCACACTGCTTCTTTGATGATGTGGTGTATTTTTAGACATGCTTATTAAAACTTTCTACTTCAGTGCACACCTCAGTGCATTGTTCTGTACATTGAAAGGTTATTTTCTCTACAAAACGATCAAGATTTGTAGCGTTATATCCCAACATGACTACAAGAATATCAGCTTAGAACTTTTAACATCACAGTTACATGAATCATAAACACACTTATGATGATTAGGGGTGCTGTTTGTCTGTATATGATAACATTTAATGATCAGTTTAAAAAATAATAATAATAATTCATTGGAACCTGAACCTAAAACAAACTCTGATGCTGTTCCAGCAGAGTGCAGGAAACAAGAAGCCAGTGCCAAATCCTCATCCATCACTTGTCTTACACATTGTTTAGTTTAGTTTATGTATCTCAAACTATATATTAAGAATACAGAGTAAGCAATGCATACTTAATACATAGGCATTATTGAGAATTCAAGTACAATACTCAATAAAAGAGAAAAATGCAGAAAAGAAACTGATATGAACATAATAATGGACATTCACATGTATGTCAACTTATATCTAGTTTGAGAAGGAACAGAAGGAGCAAGAGCTTCTCTAGTTCTGCCCCGTCTTTACAGTGTCAAAAAACAAACTAATCAACAAAAAAAAAGAAAAACAAAACCGAGAACAAACTGTAAGTCTTCACCCAAGGTGCTCATCATGGAAGCAGTGCCACAAAACCACATCCCTTGTAACCTCATGTCAAATCATCATACAATATCCACCTAAAATAAATGACCACTAGCAGCTATGTGCACAGTTCTTAATCCTCATCATCAGTCATTAATGTCTTTTAAGCATTATTGATAATGAATTTAATCAAATTTACACCTATTAATATGCTCTAAGACGGACACAAGACACGGCTCTCTGGAACTCTAGATATCCACCAGTAGAGCAGTGTGTTTGTCCCGTAGGTTGATGCCTATCACCACCATCAGTCCTGCTCATTGGTTTCCTGTGTGTGTGTCCTCAGTCCACAGTGCCACCCTGTTCCTCAACGTGCTGGCCTGCCTGGCTTACTTCACTGCAGAGAATGCTTCTGGTGTTGACTTTGGTCTGTCCATCCTGTGGTTCATCCTCTTCACCCCTGTGGCCTTCATCTGCTGGTACAGGCCCGTCTACAAGGCCTTCAGGTACCACGTCTTACTGGCCTTGTGCTGGTGTTTAAATGTATTTTGATATTCATGACATACAGGACTGGATGGAACTGTTTTGTTGTACAAGCATTGCAAAAGGGGCTAGATGTAGATGAACCAGTAGCTCTGTTTTTATTGTACGCTAGCAAAACTGCGAGCACCCTCATCCTTCAACTCACCCAGAGGATTAGAGGAACAACGACTTTACACTCATTACAGTGTTTTTCTTGCTTACAAGTCAATGTTTTGATATTTCTTTTCTGCATAAGTGTTTTTCATAAGACTTGAATCATATTCATGGCAGAAGAGCAATGCCTGATACAGTATTTAACCCTCAGTGGAGTCCAAAAATAACTATTGTTATTTACACCAAACGACTTCTACAGTGTGTTTTATTTACTTATATATGTGTGCATGTTTAATTAGAAGCTTCAGTGTCAATGTAATGTGCAATATTTCATTTTTCAGGTGCAATTTTACAATGTCATGTGCAATATCTCATTATCATGGGTGGTATTACTTCACTACCTCAGGATCATCACCAGTGTTACTCCTTACTTTTTATTTTATAGCCTTGTTTTAGTTCACCTTTTTCTTTCAGGGTTTATTCAAGTTTTGTCCTTTATTTATTTTATCTTAAGCTTTGCAGATCATCTACTGACTCATTTTTGAATCCTTGAATGCCAAATCTACCACTTGAATCTTATATTTAATAATTTTGCAGAAGACAAACCTTACAAACACAAAATGACATCAATAACTTGGCTTTGTCTTTTTTTCCTTCTTAGGTCCGACAGCTCCTTCAGCTTCTTTTTCTTCTTTTTTGTCTTTTTCTTCCAAGTGGCCGTGTACATTATCCAAACTGTGGGGATTCCCAGATGGGGAAACAGGTCAGTTCTAACTGAATAGTTAGCTCAAAGTGTGGAGGTGTGCTTTAAGTGACAGCAGGTTCATTGGTAGGAGTGTGTGTGCTGCTTTGGGTAAATTCATAGTAAGCATGGGTCGGCGTGTTTCTTCATTCACATCTGTGTGTTTGTGTGTGGATTCTTCTCCTGTATCTCCTCTCTTGCATTTCTTTGACAGATTCCTGCTGACCTAACTTGTCTGGGTTGCTGCTTTGTAAGTGTGTGGATCTTTTCCCTTTGGGTTTCCTTTCTATATAATAAATAAAGCTTTTCTTCCATCTTTCAGTTTGTCAAGCTTCATGCTTTTTCATTGGTCACTGGGGCAGGCTAGGACGTTAGCTCATATCTCTTTGGTTCAGTAACTGAACACACTTTTTAATGCAAAAAAAGCTTATAGTGTACAATATGAACTGACTGTAAATCAAATGTAAAATGTTTATTTTGCTTCTGTGTCTCTGGTGTCAAAAGCGGATGGATCGCTTCAATCAGCATGATCCGCACCAACCTGGCTGTGGCCGTGGTGATGATGGTAGTGGCCGGATTTTTCACTGTAAACGCCGTCCTGGCTGTCATCCTACTGAAAATGGTATGCTAACTATTGTTTTTTTTTTTTTTTTAGATCCCTATTAGTTACTGTTTTGTAACACAAGCTGCTCTTCCTTGGTACTCATTAATATATTAACAGTAATTGAATAACACACTCATAAAACACACAAGTTAAACCTCTACTAACTAAAAGCCTGTCTATTACATTGAGTAGCTTTATATAGTAAATCAAGAAACTCTTTCACTTAATTACAAATTATCAAAATTGCATTGTTACTAAATTCTGAAAAATAAATCACACAAAGAAAGATATTCTCTTTTCCATAACTTCCCACCAGACATTTATTGTAACTGATGACAAATAGGACTGAAAACATGAACTCCTTTTAAACATGTTTTCAGATTTTCCACAGGCTTGCTTCACTCTGAAAATCCCTCAGTGTGCAGATCAATAATGAGAGTCAGCAAACAACAGACACAATAATGATCTGATCAGGTGTTTGAACAGCCCTTAACTGTCTCCATTGTCCTGTTGTCTCAGGTCCACTCCAAGTACAGGAGGACAGGTGCCAGCTTCACCAAGGCCCAGCAGGAATTCTCCCAAGGAGTCCTGACCAACAGATCCTTCCAGAGCGCTGCAGCCAGCGCGGCCACCTCCGCTGCCCAGGGAACCTTCGGCAGAGGCCAGGGGAATTAGACTGTTTCCCACAGCCTCAGTGCCTCAGGCTAGTCTCCTCTCTGATCAGAATACCAGACCAGCCACGTCCCAGCATTATTCAATGAGTTTAGGAGAATGGGGGGATTGATTATTTCAAGAAAAAGGGCAAAAAAACCAACAAGTAACTTATGATGAGATCAGCCTAGTGAGGTGTCGCTATTCACCACTTCTGCTCAGAAAGTTTACGGAGACTGTGGTAAAATATGGAGGTCTTATGGGAGCATGTGATGCCTGGTGCATGTCTTGGTTGTTAATGAAGTCTCTCATCAGTAAATGATGTGTTTAAAATCTATTTTGGGAAATGTACTGTAGGAAATTGAAAACACGTGAAGTTAAACAGGAGGCAGAGTGGGTGTGAAAGACAAACATTAGCAATAGCTCCTGAGGTGCATTTACCACTGCACTATAAAGGCCAATGTGAGATTATCTGCAAGGAAAAAAGTCCATCTATTTAAATCCTGTCATTCATAAAAATGCTGGTGAGGAGGATTTTTTTTAAATCTCAATGTTGATGTAGAAATAACACATTGGGGCCCTTAAAGATAAGCGATGTGCGCAGAGTTTGGATTATATTAAAAGCATACTTGACATGAGAATGTTTTACCATCAGCGAATGATGGACACACATAATGTGTGTATACATATTTCTGTCAGTGAAGCAGCATGTAGAGCCTTAATTCTGACCCAAATATTTAATAATACTTATAGTACACTATATACAACTAAGTTCTGATCATTTTCTAGTTCTTTTCCTCTGAGGCAGACTGGATAGACTGTAAAATGAGATGCATCCTGTTACACTACTGAGCTGTCTGAATCTTGCTGACTAAATCTGATGATTTCACAACTGTATGGGATGAGCTGATGATTAATGAAGTTGACGGGATGAAGGTCTTTTTCTTTGTGCTGTTTTGAACTGATTTTTGATGAAGTGAGGCTAAAAGCACTTCTGAGGGCAAATGAAGATGAGTTTCAAGCGGGGTGTTACATTCAAATTCATTGCGATTTACCTTTGTTTTCTGTCATCGTACGGAGCCTTGTTGTGATAAAAATGAAAGACAGGGTGCAGGTTTATTCATGTAGTGTTACTGACATAGATTTTAGATGTATTTACTTTTTATTTTTTTAAAAAGTGCATTATTGAGCAAAAAGAACACAATATTTGTCTGTCAGTTATCGATTGGTTTAACTTTGTAGCAATAGTAAATACACTGCAGACAAAAGTCCCATGTTTCTGACGGATAGATTGTATTTTCTAACTGCACCTACTTGTCGTTAGCATTTTCATGTCTTTACATGTGTGTGTATATAAACGCTGTCTTCTTCTGATCCCATGTTAGCGCAACACTGAATCACTTCATTTCGGTATAACCTTGGTGCCTTTGAACAGATGTAACCTACCAGCGTTTGTGTGGGGATTTAAGCACAAGGTTGTTGATTATTAGCCTGATTTTATAGAGAAATTTGTATCATGGTGAAGTTTCCCTGTCATGATCTGAATGTGTGTCGAGACGTCTTGTACATATTGGTGACTTATTTAAAATATATTTGTTGGAAGGGTGTTTGTTGGACTTTGGTTCCCAGTCTTAACATTCAATAAACTGTCAGATTGTTTCTCTGTTACAATCGATTTTATATTGTCTGCAATGTACTGTACAAACCAGATGTTGTAGCTACAAGATGCATGAATCTGGGAAGTCTAGATGGATAAATTTGGGCATTTTTGCCAATGGAGAGAACAGAAATGACACGTGGTAAAGGTCGACCTTGGGGCTCTGCTGTTCAGGGCATATAGGACCATGTGGTATGTGATCTAAACATTCTGATGGGTCGACCCTGTAAGCTGTTTTGTAAGTCTGCAAATTGCAATTCTGAGTTTTTAAGAAAGTTTTCAGTCAGCTCCTCCTGAGGAAAAATGTTTTTTCTCTTACACTGGTGACCACACTAGGTTGCTGATCTCTACATGTCATAAAATACAAGCAGAGAGTATAAAAATGCAGCTGTGAGGTGTACATGGTGTCGGCATAAACACTTAATTGAAATTTCAGAATCCTACTGTGGCCAAATGCAATGTCCATTTTACAGAGACTGCAATTTGTTTTCCACAAAATACCTTTATAAATGAAACATAGCAGTACCACAGAGATGCTTCAGCCATAAATCATGTTCTCCAGACATTAGGGGACGAGTTTCTTGGGTACAGACTGCAGCAAAAATCACATCATCACTTTGATATTTTGTTTTTCTGCTAGAGATATGGAAAAAAATGACCATTCCTACTAAAATCAAGGGATATCTTAGTCAGAATTCCTGTCTAATAATTGCTGTATGATTTTTTTCCCTCCCATATTGTTCAGCCCTATCATGGTGCAACAGTCACTGATAATGACTGCAGCCGTGCTGAGGCTGAGTTTGTCAAGCAAAGCTTAATTGAAACCATCTATCCAGTAACAGTGGGTGTGACCTGGATTAAAATCTACTGTTTTGTTTGCAGTGTGAAGCCACACAAGGTTGATTCTGACGTTTTGCCATAACATGTTCTTGACAGGTTGCTGCTGCTGTTTTACAATCCAGCACACAGTGTTGGTGTCAACTGTTTGCAAAACTAAATCCAATTGGTTTCTAATTCAGCTACAGAGAAAAACAGAAAAATACATGTGAGAGGTTGTTTACGTGGTTTAAAATGCTGTATACTGATAGTCCCCACCCTGTAAACAAATCATGTGTGCAACACTAACAGAGCCATAGAAACAGCTGAAGGGAGTGTTTATCCATTAGAACTCTGATTGTTGTTTTGGGACAGTAGCACTTTATGTAGACACTGTATAAAGATAGTTAATTGTGTTTTTAAAGCAAGTATGAGTGCTGGAGCTAATGTCATCCTTCATTCCTTCCAACTAGGTGCTCTGGATGTACACATTTACTGAATCATGACTGCATCTAGGAATTAATCAGAGAGCACACACCTCCATCTAGCTTACATAATCCTTGGAAGAAATGTCTGATGATCATTATGACTCATAGCTGCATGAAAATACGTCCACTGACATATCATCCCACTTTTTTCATATTGGATAAGACTTTTTGCTATAACGTACTCCTGCTGTTGCTATTATCCAGTCTAACACACAATTTTGATGTTTGTGTCACCGGTTTGCATAGCTAAATCACATTTGTTTTTAATCGCAACATGGAGAGGAAAAACCTGAACAATCTTCATGTAAATATGTTGTTTACATTATTCACAATTCTGCAGTTCCCTGTCTGTAAATAAAACTTAGACACTCATGCAGACCGGTGGATATTTTATATGTAGCTGTATTAATACATCCACTGGCAGACCCAGTTCTACCAATATTGTGAATGAGTTTGTTGCATAACGTCCGCGTGGCCATGTGACTGAAGTGAAGCGGCTGAGAGGCTGTAGATGGAGGCTCACCTGAGACGTTCATCAACACAACCGGCCGCACGTCCGCATTCCTCTGACGTCTCCATGGCAACAGCTTCTAGTGTTGATCATCCCAAGATGGCGGACGAGGAGAAAAGCACGTCGGTGAGTGCAGAACCAAAGCTCCCCATTCTTTGCTCGAGTCAACACAAACATGCCATTAAATGAAGTGACAGCGCGACAGTGACCGTGTAGCGTCAGGTTTGAGCTCGGTTTTTTTGTGCGACGCTTATTCTGACCGTTAGTTAGCCGCTAGGCTAACCGAGTCTAAGTCGGAGCTAAGTTGATTAAGCTACCGCTAACTGTAACTTGCGGGTGTAATCTCAGTGATTCCAAAAGACAGACTAAACCCACAGAGCTAACGGCTAAAGCTGCAGTCAGGTGGCAGGGGCAGTAATATACCGTTTGAGTTCTCATGTCGTTAGCCCACGCTTTTTATTGTAACGCAGGTAACGTTATTAGTAAGCAGCTCTGCAGTAACTGTCTCTGCACGCACAGACCTCTGTTGAGTTATTACTGTAGCGTTTATTATGTCATAATATCTACATATATTATTTATAAGCTGCTCTACCAAAACGTCAGGGTTTGCACTCGAAGTGATCCACAAGTGAGGAAAATATGGGGAATAAACATTGGAAGCGAAAGGGATTGCGCATGCGCAGGTCGCCCACTAATGTGAACCAGCTGCTGTTCTTCTCAGTCTAATGACTGACCAGAAAATACATGTGATCAGTGAGACGTGCACAAATCCTGCGTTTTAATTCGCTTTTTAGAAAGTCTGTGACACAGAACTAAAGTGCTACTACTTTTTGACACGGCACAGTTTTTGAAAGTGCTAATAAGTGACACTTCTCATTGTATTTATGTGCTGCTTTCTAATAGAGAAATAACATCAATGTTACATACTTTCCTGGCAAGTTTAAATAATAAAGAGAAGAACCCACAGTATTAATTATCACACACATTTAACAGACTACATATTAAGGTTACAGCTGGGACAGTTCAAAGCTCTGATCAAAAGATAAAATGCCTTTTAGTTTGCATATCATAATCCCCTGGTTGTTTGAATGTGTTCTACTTTTGTCCCATGTTACTTGTGTCATGCTTGATGTCATAGTATTTGTAACTTTATAATGGTACACCCTCTCAGCCAGGTCTCCCTCGAAAAGGGGATTTTAATCTTAAGCGACTTCAAAGTGAAATAATGATTAAACAAAAAAAATTAAAAGCCCTGAAATACTATACATAATAGTCATTTCCCTGACTAACTTAAATATTAAGGTTAGAACACTACAATGTTGTATAAAACACAGTGTGGGTATAAATGTAATTTAAGCTCTGGGGGTGCACATTCATCTTTGAGCCTCACACCCTTAATTTTCTGCAACAGTTAGTTCATTTCCTGCATCTATTTATGGTAGATATGTCTGTATTTATGTGAAGGCAATAACACAAATTTCAGGCACCAGGTGGCAATTCCAAATATAATGGAAAGTAATGCAGTTAGGCTGCATTCTGTATTGCTTTCAAATAATGTAGATTATCCCTGCTCAGTCAACACACATACAGGCATGAATTACTCTTCTGTCCTTATTGTGTTGTGCCTTTTTTGTTTTTTGAGAGTAACCTGTTTAAATGTTCATGTGGCACCAATTCACATCAACGATAAACTAATTTATTTTAATGAATTCATAAGCCTCTGGACTTTTGAAGCTTTTATGTTTCAGCAAGATTTTTTACTCATTTTAAAATATTTAGTATTTTTTACATAATCACAACATACCTTTGTTTGATGTGCTGAAGCCAGGACAAATGGTACGACTTTTCAACAAGGCTCAGTTCAAAAAAAGTACACCTATGTAATAGAAATGTATCTGATTATTTAAAATATTAAGCTTAAAGCCCTTCCTATTATATACTGTGACCCAACAAATCCAAAGATTTGAGTGAGTGCTTGGGAACAGTTTATAGAATGCTTTATTGATCAGTTAGAAGCCATTCATATTAGGTTGCTAAATTGTTTACACTCCACCAGCAGAATGTCACTGTGATTGTCTATTTAGAGATCTCTTTAATTCATCAGAGAGACCCCCATAATGACTTATTAACATTTACAAACTGCAGACTTGATAGATTGTAGAACCAATGCTTTATTTTCACTCAAGTGAGTGAAGAGCAATTGCTAATAGTTCATTAAAACTCATTTGTTAGAAATCATGTAAAAATGGTCTACCACCAATTTTAGCTGCATCAGTACCAAATAGAAGCACACAATCCCATCAGTGCACTTTAAAATTAATTTAAAAAGGGCACATTGATTGAAGAGAGTCTTTATTAAACAGCACATTGGGACCTTATCAACCTAAAAACGTAACATAAAACAAATACATCCAATCTTCACATTTATTACAGTGTTCTTGCTGCTGTTTCAGTTTTTGCATACATATCAAGACTTAGTCAAACTCTACATATGTGCTAATAAATGTGATTCTATAATAAGTCTGCAGTTGTAAATATTAGTAAGAATTTTCTAAATGGATTCTGGTTCAGATGTCCTCTGTGAATAACTTTGACAGATCTGGCAGCTGCAAAGTAGTTCCTGTTAATGATGTGCTGATCTGTATCGCGTTGGTAAATTCTTTATTGATCATTGCTAAAGATATTGATTGAAGCTTATAAAGTCTTATTAAATTGTACTTTATCAGGAAGTGGTATTTAGAGGAAACTTATAGAAAAACACAGTTTTCAGTTCTACACTGAACACTGTGAACTCAGAACAGAGAAAATTCCTTGCTATTATCAGGTAATTTAAGATAGGTTTATGGATTTATTTATTGAATTAAATATAGGATATTTTCCTCATGCCTTGCAGAACTCAACAATTGCTTTGACTTTATTCAGTGTAGAAATTAACTGATCGAAATGAGCACAGAGCTGAATCACCATGTCTCCGGCACTCATGTCAATAAAAAGTCTGCATATCTTGATTTAAATCAACAGCTTGTGGAATGCATTTAATATTGTGCAACAAATAGAATGAGAACTTAGCCTGTCTGCTAAAGACTTCCAGAAAATATCCTCAGCCTGCTCAGTGACTTACATAGTTGTACCTCTAATGCAGCCTTTTTAAATTGAATCTTTAGTGACAGTAAAAGCTCTGGCACACTCTTGAGCAAGCTCTGGGTCAGAGTTGCTTGGCCCTTTATCAAAAGCTTGCGTCAATAAATAAATATTGCACAGACTGGAGTGGGCAAATGAGCGTCTTCGTGTTATACATGCCTCAGCTCAGACAGCTTCATGAAGTCTTTATCTAGTGACAGAAGACCTTAATGTTATATATATAAAATATATCTAACATTTGACTCATCTGCACCCAGAACACACCGTTCCAGCAGACATTCCAATCAGTCTGTTAACCTGCATATCCACATACTGGTAGTTCTTTATCAGCTTTTTATGGTGAGGCTAATCTGTTTTGGTGTGGCCCACCACACGTGGTCATGATTCATGGAAACCACTGATGTATTGTGTCCAGTAATCATCTGCTGTGTCTTCAGTATGCTGTCATTTATCTGATCGTGTTGTGTCTCATGTGTTTCAGCTTCTAACACCTTCTGAAGCCAAGAAACGCCGTGCACCCAAAGGTACAGCAAGCATTTTACAGAATCCCTTTCATACGGCACATTTCATTCCACAGCACCCATCGTTTTGTCATTAGTGTGTCTGTGATTGGCAAACAATAGTAAAAGAGTTTGGAGCTAATCGGCCTGCAGAGGTCGCCCTCTCCCTTCTGTCTGCCGTCTCTAAAAGAAAGAAGCTTTGCATACAGTGTGCCGCTGAGGCATGTTCCAGATATTTCTCTGAGTGGAAAATGTTTGTTGCTCAGTGAGGATATTTTGTCATCATAATTGCGGCCTAATGCCCCATTAACCAGTTAATGCTGATGCCCATAGATTAGACCTTTTTGCTTTTGTTTTGTTTTATAGAGCTTTGTAATTATCATCAGTGCTGCTGAGAATGCAAGCCCTCTGGAAGCAATTAGGTACATGCTATGGTATGGTATGGTATTGCATTGTATTTCCCTGCAGTGATCTTTCACATGACACACAAGCCCTGACTGGAGCCTTCTTAGGAGAGAAATCAAATGAAAACCTGATAGTGTTAAGAAAGATGACTGAGTAATGAGGCAATAAAAACAGACGGTAAAGATTGGGGTTTTAATCACTTCATGTAATAGAGGCAGGAAAAAAAGCTCCGTAACTAAGTCAAATTTGAGAAGCATTTCATCCTCATCAGGGTATATGTAAAGCTGGAAGAAACTGCAGTATGTCAGGTGTGTACGTGGGCATAGATTCAAAAAACTGGAACATACATTAACGTAAAAACACAATTGTTAAAAGCCACTGCCGAGTTAAAAATAGCGTGGCTGTCAGGTGCATGAACTTCATAGCTTAATCTACAGGGAATTGTGACTTCATTATGCCGTGCACATAAAACTAGTCACACAACAAGTTCTCTAAGTATAAAGTGTGTTGTAGTTTATAGCCTATATGGAGCTCAGGATTCAAACTGTGACTGGATGATGAAATCTGCTCCAAAGTCACATAAATGCAAGCAGGAAGCAAAACCACCTTGTTACTCAAAAGTCTAAACATTTGTAATAATCAAATAAAAAGCAGTGAAGCGCAGTTTAATTGTGTCCATAAGCTACCGAAGTCCTACTCATTCTGTAATTACCGTCATGAAATGTAATTAGGGTCATTTAATGCACACGCAAACTTAATTATGTTATGCACAACAAGTACATTACGGTATTTAATAGATTTTGTGCAATGCAGTTCCCACATTCTTAGCGGTTAACACCCAGAAAGTGTTGCGAAAAATCTGTGCCTGCCCACTGGAAAGACCTAAAATGAGTTTCCTTTAAAGCTGCAAATCAAACTGCCAGTAGCATAAGGTCATGTCACCTGTTTCCAGCACCGCATGTTTCAGTTTAACAGAATCTAATGTCAGTTTCTTGGCGCTAATGTGGCAATCTGTCTGTTTTTTTCTTCTTTTTTTTCCCCCCAAAAATACTGACACTCTTTTTCTGGCATGTTCCTTAAAAAAAAAAAAAAAAAGTGTCAGCAGCTCAATGTGAGACTAAATGACTTGACAAGATGAAGGGTTTTTTTGAAGTTTTTTTGGTGGTAGAACTTCCAAAATAATTTTCATCATAAATTTCATTACGTTCTCCCCATGTGTCTTTTGATCTCAGCATGCGTCTCCTCTGCTCTTATCCCCTTTTAACAGATGGTTGAAACACATGGAAGGCAAAGCTGTCTTAGCTTAGGCCAGATCAAATATAACAATGAGAATATTCCTCCATGTTTGGGATGAAGTTTTCCACAGGAGCATATTTAGGAGACCTCCTGCTGGGCTCTTCTTCTCTGCTCCTTTCTAACCGTCTTTCCTCCAGTAGTTGTAGGAGTATATGTCACACATGCATCCCACCTCTCCTCTCCAAATCTGCTCCCGCTTTATGTATGTGGACACTGGAACACCACAGGACCACAGCTGAAACCCAGAGACAAGAATATTATTGCTGTCTCAGCAGGAAGAAAGCGGATTAGGTCGCTACAAATAGGACCATTCCGAATCTCGCCGCCGCCGACGTGTGTAGCCCGAGCAGCTTCACACTCGGCGATGGAGAGGATTTCTGTGAAGTATCTGGAATAGGCTCCAGTTCTAGCGGCAAATCAGCAGAGCACCGCTTGAAGTGCTGACAGATAAAAACAGAAGGGAGCTTTGGTGTAATTCACACTGTATTTTTAACAGAGGCACTTCGTTAATGATATCCCCCCCTCCAATGTCAGTGGCAGTCTCAAAGCCTGGCACTTTATTTCACATTGCCTTGAATCTTATTTTTAGCCTCAGAGGAAGGTAGTAGGTGCAAGATAACAGGATTACCAGAATCAAACTTGCTTGAATTGGAATTACGTTTGCTTCCTTGTGAAATGAAATGTTGTACTCCACTGGGAAGAAGACTTGGAGCATTGTGGCTCGGTTCTTCAGGTTACCTAACCCTTTCTTAAGCTGGCTTTGCATTGTGCTGCTCATTCCTCCAGCCTCCCTGTTTGAGTACGTCTCTATACCCTCTCTGTCTGTCACAAGCACCTGGCTTGCGAGAGACATTGTTGCCCTGGCAACCAGAAGAATATCTCAACCTCCAGAGACATTAAAAAAAAAAAAGAGAGACAGGGAAAAAAAAAAGCTGTGTTTGTAACGAAAAACTTGCTTACAAGGTGACATTTACAGCGCGGCTGGTGAATTGATTATAGTTTAGCCTGGGGTTTTTGGTTGAAGTGTTAACATCTATGTTAACTGTCAGATCAAAGACTTGCTGGTGACTGCAGAGGGAGGGCGCTTTCAGGGATTATTTATTCAGGTGTCAAATTAGAAAGGACTGCATACATTAAAAAAGCAGTCCAAACAGACATAGCTCTTAATAGTCTGAGCCGTCTGTTCATAAATAAAAAGTCGCTAACAAGCTGAGATTTACAGTGTGTCTGGTGAATTGACTTAAACTTAGCCTGTGGATTTGGGTTGCAGCGTTACATCTGTGTTAACTGTCAGATGAGAGACTTACTAATGGCTGCAAAAGGAGGGCACATTCAGGATTAATCACTCAGCTATCAACTAAATAAAACATTATTTGCGCAGTGAAGCATAATAAGATTAGAAGCTCTTTTTCTTAATTCTTAATTTTTTTTTGTTTGTCCGTCCAGCTCCAGAGCTTCCAATTGTGGAGAGGAGAAACTGGCTCATCCACCAGCACTACATCCGCAAAGACTATGAAACCTGTAAGGTAAAGTGACTTCATCCTCCCTGCGGTTCAGCCGGCCATTGACCTGCATCTGTCCTCAGTGTTGGTCCGCCTGACTTGAAGACTCCCAGTGAAAATAAATATAATGAGCTTCTGCCACGTGCACGGCTCTTTGTGACACTTATTATAACCTTGGTCACCATATTAACCAGTGTATTCCCACATGAAACTGGTAGATACTCAATAGAATCTCTGCACTTGTAAGACATGTTACTGCAACACTCGCTTTCTTTTAGAAGATGTAACTGAAGTAAGGCGATAACGAGACACACTCGTCATGCTTGTGAAGATGTAGATGTACAGAACAGACTGTACTGTTCCTCTGTATCTATCAAGTCTTGGCCAGGACTGCAACTTGTTTAGAAAGTCATTCACGCTGGTATTCAGCAGGGTTTGAATCCTAATTGTATCGAGCAAAATAGCTTTTCATTCTGCACATGTTGGAAACCACATTTGCCTCAGTTGTAGAAATGGTCTTCCGTACTGTGTCCTTGTAGGTGATCATCAAAGAACAGCTGCAGGAGACTAATGGCATGTGTGAATATGCCATATATGTTCAAGGTGAGCCTTCATTCTCATAGCAACCCTTTCCTCTCATATGGTTATCGTGTTTGGTATTAATTAACAGCTGCAGAAAACGGTGCCAAAGCTCCCCGGTACATCATTTGGTTTTCCAAAATCTGCTCTATGGACCCCATGCTGTGCCTTTGATTCTTAATGTTTTTTTTTAATCTCCTCAAAGTAGATGAAGATCCTTTTTTGTGTGTGTGCTTTTTTTATGTCTTGCCACAGCATTAATCTTGCGTCTTGAGGGCAAGATCCAGCAGTCCCTGGAGCTGTTTCAGAGCTGCGCCATCCTTAATCCCAGCAGCACTGACAATCTCAAGCAAGTGGCCCGATCACTGTGAGTCTGCTGCATGAGTGCATCAAGCCTCCACCATTAGCTGACAATACAGACATAGCAGAGACGCGTATACGCCGAGCTGCAGGTCAGAACTTCTACTACCGATGCTGTACGATAAATGAATACACCCCCAGGGACTGTGGATAGTTATTCAGCATGCTGTGATTAAAATGGGTCAATTTCTGACGTGGATTATTTTTGTTTATTCTTTCCGTAGATTTCTTCTGGGAAAGCACAAAGCAGCTATTGAGTTCTATCGTGAAGCTGCAAGGCTCAACGAGAAAGACTGGGTAAAAAGAAAAGAAACACCCTAGTGCTGAGTTTCTGCTTTGTCTTTAAGTTTCTAAGGGAAAGTGTTTAGCAGCCCTGGAATCTTTTTACTCTAAAAACACAGCATGAAGTTCTCTGAACAAATTCTCCCCACATTTAGGTTGGGAAAAGCCCCGACTGAACCTCTTTTTCTCACTCGTACGACAATTTATCAAAAACAACTTCATGGTTGCACTTCCAAACTGACCCAGGGCTGTTTTTACTATGGAGCCTATGAAAGTTGTGTTAAACTGGTCTGGCAGGACCATTAATCACTCTCAGACTTGGAGATTTGAACTATCCTCTCTGTCAGTAATGCTGCAGAATTTTTATTCCACAGAACTGTTATATTTGGAAATTAATTTTAACTCAGCCTGTTCAATTAGTGTGCAACAACGATCCATGTCAGATGTGACATTTTCTCACCCTAGGAGATCAGTCATAATCTGGGCGTGTGCTACTTCTTCATCAAAGACTTTAAAAATGTGAGTATGTTACATTTCCAACATTATACAGTGCAAGCTGGAGTCATACTGCGAGGATTTAATCATTTTGATCTTCTGTCTCTGTCAGGCTGAGGAGCACCTAAACATAGCTCTACAAATAAATAAGCACGATAAGACGTTCATGATGCTCGGGAAGGTTCACCTGCTGGCTGCAGAAACTGACAAGGCCATTGAAGTGTACAAGAGAGCAGTGGAGTGAGTAAAGTGTACATGTTAACAATGCTAACAAGCACTGAGGAGACAATAAACCAGAGTTTATGGATTTTAAAGATCCCCTCTGGTGAAAATCAAGTTTTAAACTTGTTGACAGGCCTACAAGGTGTTTTTTTTAATACGCTAGATGAATCCTAATGACCGAAATAAGCAGGCAACACCAGGGCTGATTATTTCTGGAGCTGGACTGCATCAAAAATTCAGACTTCCAGGGTTTCATAGGTGGAAGGAACCAATCCTGTCAGCTTGCAGGGTGGAGCATTCTGTGTCATTATTTTTCTCTAGAATAGCTTTCTGGTTCTAACACTTATTGCTAACTCCAGTGTTACATTTTGCCTTTGTTTAGAGTAGTTTTAGCAGAGTTGTAGGTGAGCTGATGTTTTGAAGCTGTAGGAAGTAGCAAAGGGATGAGTGGAGAGAGGCAGGATGGATCTGCAGATTTGAAATCAGGCAGCTTAAAGTTCTACCTCAGCCATTTAAAGGCAGGAAAGGATTATTTTAATGGATAAAATGTAAAAACATGTAATTTTCATCAAGTTTTTAGAGTTTTTAGGGGTGAAATCAATGACCGGATTGTCTTTAATTAACCAATAATTCAGTATATGGAATGATGGACTGCCTCAGTGGTTCTATGTTTATGTTTAAGTTTTCTCCACCGACTTATACATTAGTCTGTTTTAATTATTACGTTTCAAGCTAAGGAACTGAAAGTCAGCACAACATTTTCTTCATGGTAGCATTCTGTCAATACATTAAAGCTGTCCGACACTGCCATTAAATATGCTCTTTCAGAGGCGGTTGGTTACTTTTAAGTTATTCCATCTTTATTTATCTGATGATTTGCTGTCTCTGGAGCTCGCTTCACTAAGTGGTCCTCCTTCGATCTAACTCAAAGCTCCAGCTTTGCCACATTTTAATCCGCCTTCTTTTCACTTCTGTGTGATTTCTGTTTCTTTCCATCTCTATTCACGTGTTGAATATTTAAACATGAGGCCATGGCGCAAATAAGGAAATGACATCAGTGTCTGTAATAGAGCTCATTATGGCTACCTCCTGTTGGGGGTAAATGAATTAATCAAGTTCCCCTATACTGGTGTCGCTTTTAATGAGACATACCACTGTGAGTCTTATTTTAGTGCCGATCCGAATCTTCTCCAGAATTTTTCTTGGAGCCACATCGTCCCCCCACAGGTCATAATTAATACTCCACAATTATGCTGTATCAAAGCCTGATTGAATAATCAGCAGATTCCCTGAATATCAACTATGTTTGCTCAAGAATAAGTGCAGGCATTAAATGTAATTGCAGACATAGATGTTCCTAAAGTGACATTTTTCATTCAACTTGACTCGTTCTCTATTTAGATTCTCTCCAGAGAATACGGATCTCCTGACTACTCTTGGGCTGCTGTTTCTGCAGGTAGGTTTCATTTTTTTATAACATTTTAGTAATATTATGTACACAAGTGATGAGCACTGAACCATAAGAGTGACAACAGTGTTTCATTTTTTTTGTCAGCTTGGGAAATACCAAAAAGCTTTTGAGCACCTTGGGAATGCCCTCACTTTTGACCCCAACAATTATAAGGTATGTGGGCACTTGAACAAACATTACACTTGGGCAAAAATGTTGTTTGTTGGTAGGCCACTTGAGCACAGTGCGTAGGACTTCTTTAAAAGCAGTTCATATAAGGTCAGCCTCTGTCAGATGTTACAGTTGTACTTTCATCTTTCATCAAGGTTATATCTTCCTTTAATATCTCTCTAATCATTGTTTTTATTCCCAGGCCATCCTGGCTGCAGGCAGCATGATGCAGACCCATGGTGACTTTGATGTGGCCATGAACAAGTACAGAGTTGCAGCATGTGCTGTGCCCGAGAGCCCTCCTCTCTGGAACAACATCGGCATGTGCTTCTTTGGCAAAAAGAAATACGTAGCTGTGAGTAATGCTGTCTTCGAGTTTGCTTGTTTTTCTGTTTTTTTTGGTTTTCAAGTGAGGAGTGGAAAACTGCTGAGACAAACCCACAAATCAGGACTGCTCACTGTAATTTGTACACCAACCTTGGACTGGACCTTTAATCTTTATAGAAAACACGGTTCAGGCACTTTATACTGCAGTACTTTGAGCAGGCCTGTGTATATACCGTACAGTATTTAACATAAAAGCTTTCCTAGGTCTGCTGTGCTCGAAACTTTTCGCTTACATCAGCGAGCGGGCCAGTTACTCTAAACTGACAGTTTTCACCATAAAAGATATTAAACCAACTAATCAGTCTGAGAGGCAGAGACACAGCAGATACTGTTAAGCCCAATGTTATTATTATCCATACCAAACAGTGATTAATAGTGAATTTAATAGTTAAACAAGTGACAAATGAAGGTAAGACATTGTGTCAAAGATGTTAATGATACATTTTTACACATGCTCTGTTTTTGTTTTTACATTTTGAATTTAAAATCCCATGTCCCAAATGATTTGTAGCCTTTGAAACAAATTTTTGAGCAAATGCACTTTCCATACAATTTCAACTGGTCCTGGTAACGTCAACCATGTTCAACAGAGTTCTAAGAGATGTCAAATATAGAACAGCTGATGCAGTGGCTTTCTACTCAGTTACTTGTCGATTGCGAGTCATGGCTGCAATCAAAGAGCTGAGTGAGCTTGATATTAAGGTCCATCACTGAGAGACAGTTGTGCATTGTGGCTATAAAGGCTACAAAGACATATTCAAGTGTTTTCAAGTGCCAGTAGCCACAGAGCAAAGCATCATCCAAAAGTTCAAGGAGCTCCAAACTGTGAGAAATCTCAAATAGAAATCTGATCGGAAGCCAAAAGCAACCCCTCTGTTGGTTAGAAGGATAATGTGAGAGGCCAAGAATCAGCACCACGGCCACCCTGATGAATCTGAGCAATTCTGGTACCAACATCTCAATCAGACATTTACCAAATCTGGTCTCCAAGGATGCCGGCCAAAGAGGACTCCACTTCTTCAGGACGGACACACAAAAGCTCACCTGGACACAGAAGAAAGTTTTGATCAACAATTCTGTGGTGGCGGACGAGATGCAAGTGGCGTGGTTTGGATACAGAGACATGGATTTAATTCGGTGAAACAAAGGAGAAGTCTTTGACCCAAAAAACCCATCCACACAGTTAAGCATGGTGGTGGAAATGTAATATTTTGTTTTCAGCCAGTGGGCATGGTGAACTTGTCAAAGTGAGGACGACATGACGATTCTGGAGGAAAACATCAGACAGTCTGCAGAAAAACTCGTCCCTGAGCAGAACTGAACCTTCCAACAAGACAATGATCTGAAACATATAGCCAGAGTGGTCAAGGAGTGGTCAACAGAAAGCAATATCAGACCTGAATCCCATCGAGAATATGACGAGGGAACTGAAGAGCAGAGTGATGCCAAAGAAGCCTTCAACCCCAAAGACCTGGAGATCATCACAAGAAAGAGTGGTACAAAATCCCCATGGATTTTAGTTGATTTTATTTGTTTATTTGACGTGGTGAAAGATGAAGCCACTGATTACTGACGAATGGTCTGAATAACTGTGGACATGACGTATTCATGAACATGTAAAAAAACACAGAAATAGTAATATGTGCTTTCCATCTATAACACAACATACTATCGTCTTTTGTCACTTCCACCTAGAGGAAACCTGTTGGTCAATAAAAATTCACTATAGATCAAAATTTAGTATCAGTATGAATATTTTATAGCTTAATATGAAATAATAATCAGTATATGTATTGCTGCTTAACTTGGTCCATGCATCCCCGAAGTATTTTAAATCCACCATCGCTCAGAATCTCCTGTTTCTTCGGTTGTTTTTCTTCATATATTATTAACATATTTGTCTAACGGTACTGAAGACTTTTCCTTTCCTCCCGCAGGCCATCAGCTGCCTGAAGCGAGCCCACTACTTGTCTCCTTTTGACTGGAAAGTGTTGTACAACCTGGGACTGGTTCACCTGACCATGCAGCAGTACGCCTCTGCCTTCCACTTCCTCAGTGCAGCCATCAATCTGAACCCACGAATGGGGGAGCTCTACATGTTGCTGGCAGGTACTGAGAAAGAAAGACAAAGAAATCAGTCAGGATTTAATTCTGCCTCTGTAGAGAAAATCTGTGACGGCAAAAATGGTGGCATCTGTTTAATTTTGCTGAAAATCCTTCTGCTTAAACAAATTCCTTGCGATGACTGTGTCATTACAGCCTATCTTATTTAAACAATTTTCAACAATCTCAACATGTTGACAATGTTTGCTCGTGCATTCACATTTAAGATGTCTTATTCTCCTGCTCTTGTATTTGACAATAATTTCTATCACATATTAATGTTTCACAGTGGCTCTGACCAACTTGGAGGATGTTGAGAACGCCACCAGAGCATATGAACAAGCTGTGACGCTGGACGAGTGAGCCTGTCTTACACCCTTCTTTGAGTTTTCTATTAATCTTCAGTTGAAACAGTATCAGATCACTGTTTTTTTTTTTCTCTTCCTTGGTGATCAATTTCCTACAGATCGAACCCCTTGGTTAACCTGAACTTTGCAATCTTCCTCTATAATCATGGCGACAAGAAGGGAGCTCTGGATCAATATCAGGAGATGGAGAGGAAAGTCAACCTACTTCGAGACAGCAGCAGCAACTTTGAATTTGATTCTGAGGTACTGTAGGTCCTGTTGTTGATGTTGATGTCTGTAAAGCATAGTTTGTATGTATAAATACATAGATGTGGTCGCGGTGACACCACCCCTTGGTATGTTGACTACGGTTTTGAAGCCTGAAGTTTGGAATTTACCCGTTGCCACCTTCTTTTTTGGAGACCATGAGGACAGTTTGTACACTCATATGGTAGCAATTTGTCAATTGCAATAAAACATGCCCCGCTTTATCATCTATGTTATTCTGCATGGCACCATACTTTACTTGTTGTATGAAAGGAGACTTGAAAGTGGTAACAGAGACCATAAACTCATTAGGAGATGTTTACTGGAGTAACAAATCAAGAGAAAATTCAGGTAATTTTCCTGTAGACTTTGACTTGTTTTTGCAGCCACAGGCGTCGCTCCCTGCTGGCCACGAAAAAGAATGCCCGTTTAGGACACTTTCACATTGGCTTCACTTTTAAAACCTGCAGCCTACATCTATTTTTGATACACAGTCTGTGCTAGAGAGTCAGTTGCCATGATACATCATTACTTTTTTACCAAACCTCGTCTTTTAATCACCAACAGCTGATGGACATGGCTCAGAAGATGGGAGCTGCCCTGCAGGTGACAGAGAGTCTGGTGTGGACTAAACCAGGCAAAGACTCCAAATCCAAACCAAACTCAGCAGCATCCACCAAAACCCCCGGTGCTCCCCTCGGCACTAACCAAGCACTGGGTCAGGCCATGTCTTCAGCTGCAAGCTACAACAAGAACATCCAGCTACCGACAGGTACAGGGTGGTTTGTGTACAACTGTCGGTAAATTATCTGTCATGCTAAAGGTGACAAGTAAGTGCAAAACCTGACAAACCCAAGCCAGGTCGAATATCTCAGAAATTCAAAATGAGGGAAAAAATATTCATCCCCGAAGTCCAGTGTAACACTGGCGGTGAAGGTGAAGACAAATTTCACAGCCTCCACCTCTCTCCATTAAACCAAAGCCCAATTTTTCATTTAAAATGAGAACATAAAAATATCTCTTCCCTGTATGTTCACAGTCTCTCGCCCTCAGTACTGTAGCAGATTGAATATATGGGTTAAGGCAAAATGGAAAATGTGAAAAAGAAGCCAACCTCTCGCCTGTATACTGTATATTCTTGGCAACAAAAGAAGCTCAGTAGTGTGGAAAAATGACACACTGGTAAGCTAATAAATTCATGGCTACTGTGAAGTGATTGCAGCGGCTTACAGCTCTCAGAGGTGAGTGGACAGGAGTGCTTTTCTTCACAAGAGCCTATGGGCTGCGTTTTCCACCACTTATGTGTTAGCTGTTAGTGAATAACACCAGAACAAAGCATCCATGTTTGGTAAAAATGCCATTTTACATAATGACACGTCTGACAAGCTCGCTGCTTTCTAACACTCAAAAGCTAATGTTTAACGACCACTTTGTTTGAATACACGCGTATAGAATGTAAATGTTGTGTGTTTTACAGCTAGTCAGTGTTAAACTGCATGAAAAGTCCTGACTGTTTATGGAAATCTAATTACACCTGGAACTTGGCTTGGGTTTATAAAGAAGCCTCACAAACTGTGCTGGACTAAAATGTGGTTTTAGAACCATTTGTCACAGTTAAATGCGATTAAGAAACATATTAGAACAAATGCAAACAAAGCAAGTCTTTAAACGCTAAGTTCTGATTGTTATGCTGGTATTCAGCAGCTTTCTGCAGTACAGCTGTTGTGTTAACCAAGAGGGAGGTATTACAAAAGCTAAGAACAGTTTGGCCATGGGGCAAATTTTGTCATTACAGATGTCGCAAATGTGCTGTTATCATCATCCAACTGATACTGCTTAGAGCTTCAGCAACTTTTTAATGAGATGAAATTGCACCGTTTAAACAAGCCAGTCTGAACTGCAGATCTGTGAGATGTCACAGTTGAAAAATATGAACCTGATCTTTGATGTTGACATTTTTGGGACAGATTTCACTTGAACAAGAGGCAGTTTATCTCAAGAGACTCTGATTAAAGCAGGTTAAATGCACTCTGAAATAATGTCTTTTAATGGCTTCAACCTATATAATAGTTTTTTTTGTTGCGTTGCCATCGTGACGTGGCAGTTTGTAACTTGGTACTAGAACAATGACATTTTCGGTGCATCAGTGTTTCTGCTGAGATCTGTTGTTGAACAAAGTTGAATAAAAGGTGAACTGTGACCTGCAGCCAGGTTGAGACTGTGTCTGAACACATTTGCAAGGTGACCGTACTTTAAAGGTCCAGTGTGAAGGATTTTGTGCCATCTGGCACTGAGGTTGCAGACTGCAGCCAAATGACTTCTCACCTCACCTTTCTCGGCCCAATTCCAATCCCCACCTTTGGTCCTGAGCACTAAAACCTTCTCAGTATGAATGTGAGAGGCTGCAAGGGATCGAAATGGGATAAACAGGACTGAGACAGCACTTTGTGACAGAACTATCATGTTACCTCGATGGTGCCACAACATGTGTCATACAGTTTGGCGTTTTTATTTTAGATTTTTTACATTTCTTTACAGCCAGGGCACTTAAGGGAAAGTACAAAGGCACTTCAAGAAATTCCCAGCCTCACCTGGAAACTCCCATTTTGGGGCATAACTGTGCTGACCACAAAAACTCAATTGTTGTCGTCATTTCTTTGCAAGAAGAGGAAATGTTTGTGCTGCTGTGCTGTTGCTCCAGGACAATGCACCATCCACACAGCACAGGTGGCACCTGAGGTTCATGGGGCAACAGTTCAAAGCCACATTTGGCTGCTTCTGCCACCAGAGCTGGATGGACACACTGTCCCAGAGCAACAGCAGCCAGCTTGAAGCCTTTCTCTCCTTTTTTCTTGGATTGCTTCAAACATTTGAGTTTTTGTGGACAGTGACATAAGGCTTTATAGTCTACAGTTACACCCCAAAATAGAGAACCTTTTGAAGCACATTTGTATATTTGGAATTCATTATCATACCATCAAGGACAAACTGCAACACAAGATCACCAGTGAGCCATATGTTTACACTTGGATCTAAACTTCTTTTGTCTTGTAGTTTAATCTAAATATTGGGGTTGGTTGCTCCTCCTGTGCTTGTTCCTTCATGTCCTGGCTTCCCCTTGTTTAACGTGACAAAGTTAAACTGTGGGTAATTCTGTCAAAGTCTGCAGAAAAGTACGAAATGTCTCTGAGCGAGCCCTCATGCACATGACAGTGGGACAGTTTTAAGCCTCTGCACACTTGATGGTAACACGCTTCAAGGTCTGTGAGTCTGGAAGTGTGGACTTTGGGATTTCACCCGCTTCCAAGTGTGTAGGAGAACCTAAGTTGTCCACCGAAAACACAAATAATGTGACAAGTTTGTCCATTCTGGGCTACTGTAGAAACACGGCAGTGCAAAGGTTCCTTTTAAGGTGAGAAAAACATAATGGTTCCTATGTTCAGGTGATTACACACAAGTAAAAGCATAAATGTAGATATTAACTTGTATTTCTATCACACTACACCTCTAATGTAGAGTGTGATTTATGTTTGATACTGCTGGATATGATAGAAACATGCCACGGTGTGATGTTCAGTCGCAGTACGATAAAATAACTTTTACTGTAACAAAATGGCATCAACTCTCTTGTTTTTTTCCAGGTGTTTCTAAAGGCCCCTCCACGGCCGCTGACTCAGAGCCTGATGTGGACGACGCCCCCAGCCCGCCCACCGACCCTCCAGGATCCCCAGAACCTGTAGAGTCCGACGACGCCAAACCCAGAACCTCCAAGAGGAAATCCAAGGTGGAGGAATGAGCTCACTCGGTGGCTTTGGTTTTACAGTACTTGACGTCTTTGTCATCAGTCACTCTCATTTTTTGGAGAAACAAATTCTTTAACAAGCTACTGTGTTTGTGCGTTTCTAGCTCATCGTAGTTAGACATGAAGCTTTGGGTCGCAGGCTCCTGGTTTAGGTGCACAGAGAGGTCATGTCCTACACAAGCATTTACTTTACACTGAAAAGGGCAAGTTCACTTCTGTCACACCGTTTATCTCAGAAACACTGAATGTCGCTACATCACTTTTCACTTTGAACCAAAATTCTGAGAAAACAAAGTGGTTTTTATTACTGGTGTGAAGACGTGGCAGGTCGGATGCACTTCTAAAACCAAGAGACGTCCCGGTTTGAGAAGGTCTCTTTTCAGCAAAAATGGTCAAATGGGCATTTGTGAAGTTGTTAATATCTTGATGAGCTTAGCAATAAAGTTCTCGTATTGACATTCCTAAACAATCCAATACATGTGAAGGAAACACTGTGACAATCACTGCTGGAAGGGGAAAGAGACGTTTTTGAATAGGATTGTTTGTACGATAGGACCTGAGTGTAAATAGTGACACAGGCTTTTATATGTGGATAAATGTTACATTTATAGAGAGTTCTGTATTTAATATTAAATAAGAGACTTTAAACGAAAGCTGCCGTCTTGCTGTGTTTCTCGGTTTGTTTGCTGCTTTTTCTTCTGTTGAGGTCACTGAGTTCGTCGGACTCCACCAACAGGGGACAGTGTTGTTTAAGAGCTTTCCAAGTCTCCCTTTTATCAAACACACAATCCAGGTTCTGAGCAAGAGGAATCATCGACACATTTACACATGAATGTCCAACATGTTTGATTTCTTTCTAGTAATTTAAAAAATCATTTTTGTATGTTGCTTCCTGTATCTGTGAACTCTTAGATGACTGAAGTACTTATCAAGGCAAAAATTTCTTTCAGTCACCGTTAATATCCTCTAACTTTTGAGGGCTGAGTGGGGGGAAAACTTATGAATAAGGAATGAACTGCTCCGGTTTAAGATGGAACCTCATAAATTATCTCCACTGAAGGTCACATACAAACTGAAATTATTCATGTGTATGAATTACAATATGCATGGGGCAATTTGTACATATTAACCGGCACTATTTGTGAAATATGTCCCCCTGACAAAGTGTAAATACACAGAATATGTTTATTTGTGCATACTGAATAGATTTAGGCAAATTTGAATATTAAACTGCTGTTGTTTGCTGTAGGAGTACATAGATTAACTAAAAAAAAAAAACAAAAGTCAAAGTTCTGTCAGTCAGTCTGTCCAGACTGATATCTAAGTGTGATCGATATTTACTTTCATCAGTATTTAGAACCACCAGCTGGCCTCCAAATCCCAAAATCACTGTCCTGCTCACTATTGATGTGTTAAAACTCTACTTTGAAGTGAACTAAAATCCATAACTAGAATTTAGGAGCAAATTTGACAAGAGTTTTGACTGCAACAACAAAACCAGATAGGAATTTATTTTGCATGATGATCACAAAAAGTTCACCAACCTAGGCCGGATTCAGCAGAGAAAATTAAATTTTTAATGTAGTTTTTTGGGAGTTTTGCTGCAAATTCTGAAATGATCAACTATCTAAGATAAAAGTGAATTAAAAACTGGTCGCGTTGTGATATAGAGACACAAAACAGTCACGTTCAAAGGCTTGTTTTTGAGTTTCTTTAGTAACATTACAGCAGTTTGGGAATATTTGTGTCAAAGAGGTTTGAATACAGGCGAAAACCTTCATATCAGGGCATTTTAAAACCCTAACAGTGTTTTTGTTTTTCATCAAAAATAAAATGTGTTCGTCCTGCTTATTCATTTATCGCTCATGGACCTCACAGACGCTTCTAAAACCTGAATGTGAATTTGTGTCTCGAGGACAGAGCTTTGATAGAAATCCTGAGTTCTTGTTGTTGTTGTTCACTTTTCAACATCCTAACACTGTGTTTTTTTCCCGCTCTGTGGTGAGTGTAAATATTTATTTTCTCCTCTGGCTCAGGACAGTGTCAGGTCAACACTTTTGACTGCTGGTCCGTCTCCAGACTGGAGATTGTGAGCGTCGAGCAGCGATCGTGTTGTTTGATTTCCTGTTTGAACAGAAGAGTAGAGCTACAAAAAGCTCCAAACAGTGAATCACATGTGTCACTGTGGAGAGACGAGGGTTTGGTTGGAATAAAGCAGGAACCGATTTAATGTTATGCGAAGTATTCTGCCACAGCAACCTTCAGCCATGAGGAGCTTTTGTCAGTCAGAACCTGTACACAGCGCTATAAGGTCCTTTTTAGTATTGAAACATGAAGTGTGAGCTTCTTTATGACACATTTGCGTGAACTTGGTCTGACCTCTGCAGCTCTGCATGTTCCTGCTGCAGGCGTCACCTCCAAACCTTTCACAGGCTGCCACTGAACTTCAAAGTACGAGCTGATCGGAAAGCGGTGCTGTATTTAGAAGTACGTTTTCGCACATCGTCACTTTCATCAAAAGTAAGAAAGCCATTTCTTTTTTATTCAGTTTTCCCTACAGGGTAAGAACGAAGCACAAAATTCTTCTGATTTGTCCTGATGAAGGTTTGAGGACGAGTGATGCAGGATTTTATTTTATTTTATTTTTTGGTTCTTTCAAAGAAATCCTGTCCACCTGTAGACTTTCTGGACATCAAGAACTTAGTAGTGATCATTAAGGTGATGCGTAAGATGTGAATGAGTCTGTTTTTTGTGTCGAGATGGAACTGAGCAATTCTAAGATGGATTTAATGGAAACACTTGTCTCCTGAACTCAACTTCTTGATTTAGTTCAGACACACAGAACCCCTTCCTGCCAAAGATTAAAGATCTTAAAGAAGAAGTTGTTGTTTTTACCTTCCTGACACGTCCTTATGGTTTTTTTATTGCTTTAAGACATTATGGGAGAAATAACCAGCCAGGCTGTGGCTCAGGTGGTAGAGCGGGTTGTCCTCTGATCGCAAGGTTGGCAGTTCGATCCCCGGCCCCTCTACAGTCGAAGTGTCCTTGGGCAAGACACTGAACCCGAAGTTGCTCCCAATGGCAGGCAGCACCTTGCATGGCAGCTCTGTCGCCACTGGTGTATGAATGTGTGTGTGAATGTGTGTGTGAATGGGTGAATGAGAAAAACATTGTAAAGTGCTTTGAGTGCCGCAAAGGTAGAAAAGCTCTATATAAGTGCAGTCCATTTACCATGACTGAAGAGTTCTGCCTCGAAACTGTAGGAAACTGATGAAATTCTCAAAAATACATCATTAGACTTCTGCAGTTTTAAACGTAACAACCATCAGGAAGCAATCCTGCCTCCTGTTTGGTCTCCTGTATTATGATTCTTCTCTAGAATCAGTGTCCAATTTGAACATACAATCGTGACTCGATAATCCAACACTAAAAGTAAAACCTTCTTTTATGTCGGATATCAAGGCTGTCAGATTGTCAAGATGGAGGTCAAGATACAAGGAGGGCTTGATGCTTGAAGGCTCATTTGTTGTTAGTTATTGTTCATAGTTGTTATAATAACTAGTAGGGCTGGTCCCAGTAGCACTTTCTGGGCTCCGGATATTCAGGCCCAATTAATGATGAATATTTGGCGTGGTCGTGGGGGCACTTCCACCCCAGGGGAGCGTTCCAATGGGGTGGAAGTGGCCGGAATGCACTTTACTGCTGATGGCAGTTTAGTTAGCGCTCACACTTCGGTTTCCACTATCAGCAGCGGCGGCGGGGGAGTGGCAGTTACGCTCCACCATTACCATCCGTGTTTACTTCCGTAAACACTGAGCATGCTCACTGAGTGTGACATCGTCGTGTCCTCTTCTGTCCATGCGGGACACTTTTGGGTCGTATGAAGTTCACACAGCAGATCACATACAAGTTGTATTTAATTGTAAATGTGAACGAACTCACCAAAAAACGGATTCTACAAAAAAACCTGAATTGAGCGTTAAGTCCTACAGTCTGAACGTAGCCAATCTGTTGGATTGTTCAGTCAGATAATACGCCGTTATCCTTATCTGTGACATAAAATGTCATGTCGGAGTCGGAATCCAAGGCTGTCGGTATGTTAAGGCTATTTTTAATGGGTTCCGTTCGTTTTTCCTAAAAACCTGTCGGATAGCAAAGTTTTGGATTGTTAAGGGTTGGATTATCAAGTCACGACTGTATTTGGTTAAATTACTCCAATAATATAACTTACTATTGTGTAGTGTTGAGTATTTTTGTAGTTTTAATCTACTTTAAGGTAGAAATGGTTTATTTTTATAGAAAAAAATCTGTATTAAATGCATAACTTTGATACACAAAGATGACTTTTTACTGGTTTAGTCAAGAGAGGAACCTAAAGTTTTCACACATTAAAAGTTGAGAGTAAATATGTCTTTTTATTCAGTTTTCCTGAAGGACACAGAAGAACCTCTAAATTCCCTCTTAAACCCTCTGATCTGATCTGATTAGCATTTTTTATGTACCTGTAAACCCAAATAAGACTCTCTGGAGTGCAAGACTTGGTGCTAATTGTTAAAAACGAATAAATCTGTTTTTATGTGTCTGTTTTTGTTAGCAAACCAAATTTCCCAGGAGAGACGGCAAAGATTGAACTGAACAATTCTGATATTGATGTATTTGTACCATTTATCTCCTAAAACTCAACCTCACTCATACAGACGCACTTTCTGCCAAATATTAAAGTTGTTGTTTTTTTGTCTTGTTGGTACGTCCATGTGATATTTTTATATGCTTTAAGACTTCATTTTCAAACTTTTGGGGTTTTAAACGTATCAAACTTATGAAACTAATCCTGTCAACTTGCACGGTGGGATTTTCTGTTTCATTATTCTCCAGAATCAGCGTCCATTTTGAATATTTATGGCTGAATTATTCCAATATTATATCTTGTAATTGTGAAGCATGGAGTAGTTTGGCTGTTTTGATCTATTTTAAGATAGAAATGGTTTATTTTTATAGCAAAAAAACACTTTTTTTAATATGTAGCTTTGATACACTGAGATGAGTTTAATCAAGCACCAGGGAGGGACCTAAAGATTTTACACGTCAAAACTTTAATCAAAAGTTAAAAAGAAAGTAAAAATGTCGATTTTTTTAAAAATTCAGTTTTTCTAAAAGATACAGAAGAACCTCTAAATTTCCACTTTAACCGTCTGATTTGATCAAATGAAGATTTTTTTTTAATGCAGCTGTAAACTCAAATAAGATGCTCTGAAGTGAAAAACTCGGTGCTAATTGTTCAACACGAGTAAATCTGTTTTTTATGCGTCTGTTTTTGCTGGCAAACTGAATTTCCCAGGAGAGACGGCAAAGATTGAAAGCGAACACTTCTAAAAATAATTTATCGGCACCATTTATCTCCCGAACTCAACATTACAATTTCAGGCTCAGAGAATTCCATTCTGCCAAAGATTAATCATTTATGGAGACGAATTAAACTTAGCGGAATATAAAAATGAAAAAGCCATGAACTAAATAAAATGTAAAAATCGAGGGAAATTCAATTTTTCTTGCGATATACATCACATTTATAGACGTCATTTCATTTTGATTTCTTTTTTTTTTTTAATGTGTTAAGCTAAAACTTAAATTTTTGAACTCTTTGTGGAAACAC